GAGAATCAGGTATCCCTTTGCCCCATCCACCCCATAGGCCCCTAGATCAGGGACGCTGCGCGGGGCCGGCCGCGCAGACTTTCTTCCTCCCCCTTCCCTGCCCCCCCACGGCAGAGCCCGGCGGGTGTACTGGTTCTGGGGTCGGGGGTGGGGTGGCTGGACCCACGATCCCTCCTTCAGTCATCCATTACTCTCCAACCGTTCATTAGGCACCTACTATGTGCCAGGCCCATTGCTGAGTCCGCCAGGGATGCGGTGACCTTCGGGAAGGTGCGTGTGCAAGACAGGTGGCAACAGGCTCTGGTGGGCCAAGGAAGGATGCCCATGCAGACAGACCAAGTCCCTAGGCTCAGACGGTCCCCTCCTACTCCTCTCCACCTCAGCCCGGTCCTTGCTGGGCACAGTTGGGCTCTACCTTTGACTTGGGCCTTTTGGGCCTAGCTGAGGTGACAGACCCAGGGCCCCAGGGCCCAGCGCCAGCCACCAGAGCTGCCCATACAGGGGTCCAGTCTTCTGATACCCTGGAAACGCGGCTCTGCTGTGTCCGGCCAGGGGCAGGGCCCTGGCAAGAGAAAAAGGTGCAAGCTTGAATATGTGATGTGGCCAGCCTCATCCCAGCACCCAGCTTGGCTGCCCCCACAGGGGCACAACGTGGGCCCACATCCAAACCCCTACACAACCAGGTGTCGTGCCCACACAGCTCCCAAGCTGGGCCCTGCCCACCTGTGCTGCATGCACACACACACAGGCGCCCCCACCCCACCCCACTCCACTCTCCTGTCTACCTACCTAAGGAGAAGGCCTGAGGGCCATGGGCCCACCAGAGTCTCCCACTTCCCCTCACATCTCGCCGCCGTGGAAAGCCATGGGCCCTTTCCCGCCCCCATAACTAAGCAGCACAATAACCGACTTAGCGAATTCAGGTAGAAGGAACGTTTAGGTAGCACCTATTTTGTACTGATTCTACAAGTAGGGCCCGAGGTGCGGGGGCCCTCGGGTGGGGGCTGCGGCCGCCGGCCTGCCCCGCCCCCACCCCCCGCCTGCGCCCTGCCGCCTTGTACATATTCCCACCCGGAACTGGCCGGGATTTTTACTCGGGCCGCGCCCCTGTTCCGCCCCCGTTTGGGGCCGGGCCGGCCAGACAGACCAGACGGACGGACGGACAGACCTCCTTCCTAAGCACAATAGCACCAGCTCTCCGGAGCGCCGCACCTCCACGAGGAGAATAAATGCCACTCTTGATAGAATTTGGATTGTCGGGCTGATGTATCCTGGGCTGGGCTGCGCTTCTGGGGGGCCTGTGGGCATCTTCCCAGTCCTGCCACAGTACAGAGGCTGGCGGCTTGCAGGCATCATCAGTGCGGCAGCTTTTTCAAAGAAGGCTTTCTTCTTCCACTGGGAAGCAAAGCAGTTGGCATTTTCCCAGGAGCAGGTGAATCTGCTCTGCAACAAGAATTGGGCACTAAAGGTTTCCAGCCCAAAGTCAGGCTCAGCTCAAGGCTGATCTAGAATGGCCAGAGTAGGTATAGCAGGGGCTGCAGCCCCCTAGCCTGGGGTGCCTCCACTCTACACCACCCTCCATGTAGGGGCTTCCGCTGCCCTGGCAGGCCTGACAGCCACAAGTGAGCTCTCTGAGATGCTGTTGGAAGAAACGGGGATGGCAGAGGGTTAGAAGTCTGGCCCCTCCCTGTGGCCTGATACCCACATTCTGACCCCCAGGCTTCCAGGTTATGGGCCCCCACTGTCTGAGGAGGCCTGTATGGACAGCTGGGCTGGACCAGTTCCAGGGAGGAGGTGCCCAGAGGGCATATAGGCTTCTGTAGCCACCCATAGCCCCAGGGCTCCAGACAGGATGAACAGAGTTGAGATGAGAGGTGGGGCTGTGCTGAGAGAGCAGAGGAGCAGGGAGCAGCAATGGCCCCTGATAACCAGGTAGGCAGGCATGAGCTGAGAGGCCCAAAGTTTTGGGGCACATATGGTCAAACCAGGTCAGCTCTAAGCCCAGGGCCAGCACAACTGCCCACACCCTGGCAGTGATAGGGGATAGGCCTGCCTAAACTCCATTGGGGTGGAGAGCAGAGGAGCTAGTTCTGCAGCAGATTATAGCCTGGGGGCCTGCTGTTTGGAGGGGGCTCTGATGGGGGTGCGTGCCCCCTTCTGGAGAGCACTGCCAGAGATAACAATGGCAGGCGTGAAGGCATGCCAGGGACTGGTAGGGGTCAGTGGCCAAAGCCTCCTGCAGAGGCACTCTTCACTTTCACTGTCTGTGGGCTGGGTAGGCATCATAGCCCTCCTTGGAGATGAGGAATCTGAGCCTCTGGGAGATAAACAGCTTGTCTAAGGCTAAAGGATCCCAGGGCTGCCTTTGACATAAGCTCTGCCCCAAAATTCTACCCACCTTGGCAGGCGGCAGTGGCAGAGAGGAGGGCTCCTAACCACTCACTCCTTTCTGAAGGACTCCACAGCTACTGGTTTTTTCTGCTTCTCCAGGATTTTGATGGGTGCTGGGGGTGGAAGGGTGAAGGCGGCCTCCCTGAGACCTGGGATCAGCCCATTCCTCTCATCCATGGATGCAACTTTCCATCCTAGATAATGGGTGGCACAGGCTGCTGACCATCACTGCCCATGAACTTTCCCTGCTGGCCGTGTCCCTCACAGGCCTCCTTGGCCCACCCATGGCCCCTCTGCCCTAGGGTCAGCCCGAGATCCCTTCTAAACCCAATCCCCTCCCAGCCCTTTATCCTACCAGGCCTGCAAGGCTCCTGGCCCCAGCCTCTGTCCTCTCATTTGTTGCAGCCCCCAGCAGGGAGATCCGCACCCTACTGTCCTCACCCACCCAGCCCCGCACACCTTCGTTCCCAACCAATCTCATCTACCCTGACCTTTCGCCTCTCCCCTGGATTCCTAGGCTGCACCTCACCCTGGATCCCGGGGTACTGGGGCTATGCCAGGTGTCACTCTCCTCTTAGGCTGCCGCCCCTGTCCTGCCGTTGCTGTCAGTATCGTCACTCTCTCTCATTGATGTGCTCACAGCCAGTGCCTTCCCATTGGCTTGGGGCCCTGCTCTTCCCGCTTGGCTCGACCCATCCTCCCTGGAGGCCAGGGTCCACTCTCTGGCCGCGTTACTCCCGCGGCCACTTGTCGGCTGACCAGTGTGAGGTGGGACGGGGTCGCAGGCAGCCGCTTCCAACGTGACCCTTCACTCCTCATTGGCCCGTGCGCTCTGAGCTTACTGGCAGGCTGAGCGGTCAATCTTTTCCTCCGCCCATCGGTGTGACAGCCTGCGACGGTCCTCTGGTTCTAGGTTCTGTACTGGAGGGTGGTATGGCCAGAATGCGCAAGGGGACACGTGGGTGCGCATTGGGGGCGAGGCTTGCACTCGCTGCCTGGGAGAAGGTGTGGAAGAGGGGGTGGCAGAGCCCTTATGGCTCACCTCTATGCTCTAGGCTCCCAAAGGGACACTCTTCTACCTGGCCTCCTTTTGGGATCAGTACATTCTCAGAAGGCATAGCCCAGCCTGGCCCAGGCCCAGCCCAGAGCACGCTCCGCCAGCGACTGCAATGCACAAACAAACGTTCTGGGAGACTCGTAGAAGACTGGGCTGGTCCTGATCCACCCAGGTCCATGCGTGAGGCCAGGGGCTCTCCGGCCCAGTCAGAACGCCCCACTGCCCCTTAGCAGGCTACATGAATACACCTTTCTGGTAGCCCCACCCTGCCTGATGCCCTGGCTGGCATCAACCCACGATGGTTATGGCAGGAAGAATGTGTCACCAGGTGGAGGTGCCGGCCCTGCCGGCCACCTTGGTGGAGGTGGTGAGAAGAGGCTGAGCTCAGCAGGAAGGCTGTGACAGGTCCACAGGAGAGGCTGCAGACCTCAGGCTGAGTCCCTCAGTTTGCTTCCAGAGAGGCGTCTCTTGGCGCTGCTCACCCCAGAGAATCGAGGTGTTTCCTGGTAAACCAGGCCCTAGTCACCAGTGAACTCCAGCATCTGAGGCCCAGAATGTCTGCACTCCATGCCCTGTGAAGATGCATGCCAGGCCAAGGTGGGAGGCAGACTTGCGTCTCCTGAGCTGCACCATGTTGCTGTTACAGTTGATTAGTTGCTTCATGTAACAACAGGGCGATTGTACGGGCCGTACAATTTCACAGAAGCTTCTGCGTCCTGGGCGATCTGGCACCCCAGGCTCCTGAAATCTTGGCGAGGCTGGCTCGAGTTGGAAGCTGGGAGGCCCTGCAAGTTGGCAGACCTGCTCCCTGTGGAGGGGCCGGCATCCTCGCCCTACGCACGACCAGCTCTGCAGGCAGAGGGGTGGAGAGCCTGGAGCCGGCACACAGGGCGGGTGTCCAGGTGATGCGGGGCCTGGGGCACTTTTTCCGCTTGAATCTCTGACCTGGCCCTTGTCTGAAGTCTCCCTCAGTCGAAGAAAAGCGGATTCCTGCCGTGGTAACTAGAGGGTTCGTAGAGCACCACCGCGCCAGGGGGGGCAGTTACTGCAAGATGCACACGCGGAAACCATCGCGCTGGGTGGCGGTGACGCGAGCTGCCGCGGATAGCGGCCCTGGACAGCTGGACGGTGGCGAGGCGTTTCGTAAATAATCAACATCCCCAAACGACCCGCCTGGGCTGAGGAATGACGAAACCCTGTGTTTACAGAAGTGGGACAGGGGCAGGTGAGAGATCAGGGGAGGCGCGCAGCTGCCAGGAAGTCAGGGGCCGACGCAGGCCCTCAGGCTATCCGTCCGGTTCCGCGGAGCCGGGCAAAACATTGGACGTTTTTCGCGGAGACCCTAGGACGACGCAGGGAGCAGATCCGCTGCCCGTCCGCTTACTTGCAGCCCGCAGCCCCGGCCCACGCGAACGACTACCACTCCCAAGGTGCTCTGCGCCGGCACGCCCGCGGCGACTACGGCTCCCAGGGTGCTCTGCGGTGACTACGGTTCCCAGGGTGCGCCGCGCGTCCCGCCTCCCGCCTCAGGCCCCGCCTCAGGTCGGCCTGTGGACTACAAATGGACAAGCACGGCTGTCGCCCGCCAGTTAGCGGCTCCGGTGCGAAGCGGCCTCGGTTCCTCAGGCGTGCGGGCGTAACGCGGGTGGGCCTGGAAGGCCGGACAAGCGGGCGCGCGGGCTACGGCGGCCGGCGTGGGGCGGCCGCAGCCGTTGCTGAGCGTTGGGAGGTGGGGTCGCGGGCCTCTGGCGCTGCAAGCCCGGCGGGCCACGACTTGGCCGCAGCAGGGTGCGCGCTGAGGCTATGGGCGACCGCAGCGGCGCGGGCGGCTCCCGGCGCCGGAGGACGGGGTCGCGGCCATTGAGCCACGGCGGCGGCGGGCCTGCAGCGGTGGAAGAGGAGGCGCGGGACGCGGCAGCAGGCCCCGACGTGGGTGCTGGGGGGGACGCCCCGGCCCCGGCCAAGGACGGAGACGTCAATGTGGGCAGCAGCCAATTGGAGCTGAGGTAGCGGAGCACCTGAGCCCTAACCTCTGACCCTATGACCCTGGACCCCGCGACTCTTTCCTGGTTCCCCGGGAGTGGCCGCAGCAGCGCGAGCTCTGAGTCCGAGAACCTGGGGTCCGGACTAAGTGGGGACCTGTGTGCTCTTTGGGCCCTACGGGGAAACTGAGGCTTGGAGGGGAGGGTCACCTGCCAAGGTCACCGAGGTGGAGGTGTGGAGCTGGCCAGGCAGAGAGAGGGGAGCCGGCAGCTGCCCTGCTTCCAGACGCATTTGGGTCTGTGCATCCTCAGGTGGGTCCTGAGGTCTTTTCCGAGGGGTGAGCTGGAAGCCTGGGCACTCGGAGGGCTAATCTGGGTCTGGTCCCGGCCCTGGACAGTGTCCTCTTCTTTGGAAGGAGTTAGATGGGATCCGGGCAGTTTGTGATGAAAGGTCTCTTCTGAGGGCTGTGAAGGGTGCCTTGGGGGGTAGGGACAGCTCCCAGAGGAAAGTAGCCCAGGTCTTTTTGAGGACGGGGGAAGGGGCAATGTAAGAGGCTTTTTTTGCTTGCAGGTCCTTCCAAGGGTGGCTGCATGGTTCATTCATTCCCCATTGAGTCGTTAGGCTGGCCTGCTTGTGTTGCCAGAACAAGTGCTTGCTGTAGGGAAGGAAAGTTGGGTCTTGCATTGGGACATTTATCCCCTGCCTGGGGTATACAGGAGGAGGGGTTTGAGGTGGACCCACCTGCAGTGGGTGCCCTGTTTAGCTGAATGACTGACAGGAATGGGTGGCGGGATGAACCATGCTGATGGGGAGGGCTTGGCCTGCCTGGACATTGGCCCTTCCTCCAAGATGGCCCAGAGCAATCCATTTGCCACCCTCCAGCCCTCCTTTCTGGCTTTCACTCTGGTCCAGGGGCTCTCAGGGCCTTTGGCTGAGGGAGCAGCTGAAAGGCCAGAGGTTTTCAAGGAAGAAGTAGGCAATTGGTCATTTGGTTGGTGTGGATTTGCTCTCTCAGCAAACAAGAACAGAGCACTGGGCACTGTGGGGAGGGTTGGGGAGGGCAGCTGGGGTGCAGGCACTTTCACGGCTCTCGGGGTGCTCACAGTTCCCCTGGGAGATAAGATAACCTCAGCATGATGCAGGCATGGAACAGTATGGACAAAGGTCAGGAAAGGAGGCTATGAAGATGCCACTGGGGAGGAGGGTGGCCCTCCTGAGAGGGTGCTTGCTTGCTGTGGGCGTGGGGTGGTGCTGAGCGAGGTTGTCCAGGCACCTCCTGTCTGAAAAGGAGTTGTCCTCCCTCCAGGAGGCAGGGGATAGCTAGCACAGCCTCAGGAGGGTGGGATCAAGGTCCTTTTGTGTGAGATGGGGGTTTCCACCTCTGGGCAAAGCTGCCACTCTGGGATAGGCAGGGGAGAGCAGTCACTTTCTTCCTTTTCACTGACCAGCAAGCCTTTTCTGTGCTTCTGGGGTTGTGGGGCTGGGTACAGGGCTTGTGGGAGAGGCTGGGTGAGTCCCTGTCCCTGCTGTTAGGGTCTGAGATAGCCAAGGTAGGGCCTTCCTGGGACCAGAGCGTGAGCCAGGTGATCTGTCTGCTCTGGGTCATGCAGGCTCTAGCTCGTCCCCTTGTCACCCTCCCGCCTCCCTTCCAACTGCTTGTTGCTGCTCTTGGCCCAGCCCAACCTTTCCTCTCCCCCTTCCTCATTACTCCTTGAGCTCCAGGCCTCTTCCCATCTCTGACACTTCCTGCTCACCTTAGGCTGGGCTCTGGGTGTGAGCTCATTTCTTCTGGTCCCATGGCAAGGTAAGACTGTGAGGCAGGAAGGAGAGGGCACCTCTTCGTGTTCTGCCTGGCTCATCCCTTCCAGGCTGTTTGCACACTTTTGCTGGCTCTCAGTTCATGGGCACTCCCTTCTGGTTTCCAGCTTCTCCCAGCGTGTTTGTCCCTGGGGTGTCCTCTTTCTGTCTCTCTCTCCAGCAGGGTCTTTGAGGTGTGGGGAGCCTGCCCCAACCATCTCACACCCCAGGACTCAGCACAGAGGTAATGTGGAGGCGGCAGCTGGGAAGGGAGCTGGCACTCTGTCCTCCTCTTCACTCTGGTTGGCTCTGGTGCTGAACTGTGTGGTCCCCAGGTGTGGCCCACACTTAGGGACTGTGCCTTTGGGCACACTTTGAACCTTGGCATAGGAGCGTGGGATGGGCATGTTCTTACCTCATAGTGCTGATGTGAGATTGAGTGAGAGGATCCTACTGGCTTGGTGGGCTTGGGGGCTACAAGAGGGAGGGAGGACAGGTCCTCTAGTAGGTGAAAGGGTGACAAAGGTGCTCTAGGCATGGGTGGCCAGATTCTGCCTCCCTGTGTGGGTCAGTTGCCGGCCTGCCCTCTAGCCCACTTGCTGCGGGCCGTGCTGGCAAGCCTGGAGCTCCTCAGGCATCGGCAGATGGGGATCTCCTCCCCTGGGTCAGGGGCCTCTGACCTGCTGGAGGAGGGGCAACATGGGCTGAGGCTGTGCAGTGGCGGTGCTGCCTGGGATCGGGGCAAGTCAGGAGGCCTGTGGAGGACCCGAGGCTGGGTCTGATGTGGGTGGGTTGAGGAAGGCCTTGGGAATCCATCAGGAAGGACCTAGAAAAGGGACCCAGAAAAGCTTTCAGCTTTGGAAAGCAGCACCCTTTCCCCACTCTTGTTTCCATCTTGAAGATGGGCACTAAGAAAGCCAGTGTGGTCTCCTTGGTGGCCCGAAAGGGGCAGAGGTCCCACTGTTGTGGAACAGCATGGAGATGTGAAGACAGTTGATAGGACATGGTACAGGGAGGCCAACCAGGAGGCTTTGAGATAGTTCTGGGGAAAGCGAATGGGCTTGAACTTGGGAGAGGGCAGTGGGGAGGCCTGGTCTGTCCTCCCTGGGAAGCTGTGCCTCATACCCTTGCTTGCCTCAGGGTACTGGGGCTCTGGGGGGCATGTATACCCAGCCTCCTGGGGAAGTGGGGCGGGTGCAGTCTGGGGAGATGGACAAAGGGCAGTGGTCAGTCAGAAAGGTGGGTGCAGACTCAGGGAGGGGAGGGCTCAGATGGAGACCACAGCCTCACCTCGTGGTCCAGGCTGGACCTGGTGAGTAGATGCAGAAAGCTGAGGCCTGCGGCTGGGAGAGGCAAGTGGACAATGGCAGGGGCTGGGGTCGGGGCTGCCCTGTCTTGATGCGCCAGCCTAGATGGGTAGGACAGGTGTGACTATCCTTCTACCAGCTTGGTGATGCTGGGGGCTAGTGTGGCCAGGTCCAGGAGCTTTGTAGATATAGACAGGACAAGTGCTGTGCAGACCTTGGTCTGGGGAACAAAAGTCAGGCCTGTTGGCATTGTGCTTCAGTCTCCTTGGCCCCTTGCTTCCTAGGCGGGGCCATCTGACTGCTGACTCCAACCCTAGTCAGCTTGCCTCTGGGAACTGAGGCAGGGACAACCCTGAGAGGGCATCTGTGTCACAGGGCTCCTGCCGTTGTTCCCAGCCCCATTCCCTCTGCCCAGGGCTCTGAGGCAGAGATATACGGGCATGGGAGGGAAGGGGAGCCCTGGGCCTTTCCTCTTACAAAACCGAGGCCTTGCTCAATGCTATTTGTGGCTTCCTAGTGGCACAGCAGCTGGGGGTGAGGTGGGGCTGCAGTTGGTTTCAGTGAGCCAGTGCTGGTTCCTGGGCCATGTGTGGTCTGGTCTTGCTCTTGTCCTTGTCCCAGCACTGGGACAGCCCCTCTACTGGGCCAGGTGCCCTTATCCACCTCTGCCTTTCCCTGAGGACAGGCACAGTCTGCTTGCCTCCCCACTGCCTCACACTGGGTGGGAGATCACAGCGGGTGCCTGTCTCTGCTGGAGGCCCCAGTGGGCTCCTCTTGACTCCCTTAGCCCAGGCAGACTTACCTGTGGTTGAACTGGGACAGGCTGTCACTTTTCAAAAACAAGTGGAGGCCACACAAACACATGAGGGCCAAGTCCCTGCACCCAGGAAGGTGCCTGTCAGGCTGGATGCTTGGCTGGCCTTTGGCCTGGGCTCCTTTGCCCACTTGGGCCTATGTGGTCAAGTGTGGGGAGGAGGCTCTTTGGGCTGTGTTGGGGACCCCCTGGCTCTCTGGGTGGCAGGATGGCAACCAAGCCTGGGGGACTTGCCCCTCACCCTTTTGTCCCAGCTGTGCTTGGTGGGGTCAGGTGGTCCCACAGATCCCTGGGTTGGACTCCTGTGGCCCCGGTGCTAGTCCTCAGCCAGATTGCTATAGGAGCCAGGCTGGGCTTCTGGCCTGTGGTGTATAAGTCCATGTAGGCCTGGGCCAGGCAAGGCAGGGCTAGCCAGGCTCCTGCCTGTGACATGCCCTGTCCTGCTGCCTGGAGGGGCAGACTCTGGGGGGTCCTGAGAGTTTTGCCAGCCTCTGGTGTGGCCCTGCCTGGCTCCTCCTCCTGTTCGTAAATGGGGTGTGGGGTGTGTGGGCAGAAGAGAAGGTTGGGGTGGGAGTGTGGATCACAGCTGCTGACCCAGAGTGAGGGGCTGGGGCATCTGCTCACCAGGGTGCTTGTGTCCTGCACTGCCAGGTGCCATCGCCTGCAGGATTCTTTGTTCAGCTCCGACAGTGGCTTCAGTAACTACCGTGGCATCCTGAATTGGTGTGTGGTGATGCTGGTGAGTAGGATGGTGTCTGGGAGCAGGTCTACCTGTAGCCATGTGGGGCTCTGCCCCAAGTTGGCCTTCAACTGGGAACAGGCTTTGTCTCCCAAGGTGCTGGGGCTGGAGTCCATGTGGGCTGGGGAGCACAGAGCATGCTGTAGCTGCCTCAAGAAGGCTGCGTCTCTGTGTGGCCTTGCACTGGGCTGCTGGGAGGAGATGTGGTGGTGCTCCCTGCAGTGGCCACACACTTGATGCTCCCTGCTGGATCCCAGGAGAGCCCTGCAGATGGTAGTGTGGGGAGGCCCGAGGCCTGTGAGCTGTGCTGGAGGGTGGGGGGCGCAGGCCCCATAGGAGGGCAGGGAGGAGGAGGGGAGGCTCACCCTGGCTGGTGGGGCTGTGGAGGGAGCACTCTATGGGTACAAGGCTTCCCTGGCAAGGTATATACAAAGAGTTTCCTTGTGCTATGCCATATGGCCCTAGTGGACGTAGAGCCCTGGAAGTCCTGGCCAATGCTCTGCAGGCCTGCTGCCCCCTCTCCTTCAGCCCTGGGTCCTAGGAGCCCTCCAGGAAGGCAGTTGGATTGAGTCCTGTGCCATGTCCAAGGCCTGCTGCCTCTGGGGCCTGGTTCCCACTGGTACTTTGTGGGGGTGGGGCTGGGAGCCCCACCCCAGAAGCAATTGGAGTCTAGGGCTCAAAGGGGCAGCCTGTGGGGTGGGGGGCGGGGTTGGGGGCAAGGGACTGTCTGGGCCCAGCCTCTGCCACTTAGAGCTGATATGGCCCAAGGCCTTTGACCCTCACCCAGACGTGTCCTCCTCTGCTGGGCATGGTGCCTGTGTGGTACTGGCTCCATGTACACCCATGCCCCCAGCCTGTGGTCCTGGGAGGTTCCCAGGGAGTGTCTGGGGCTCCCAGCATCCTTGGCCTGGAGAGGGCCTTGGGCTTTGGCCATGAGACCTGGTGGGTGAGAAGCTGGCTGGGCAAGAGGACAGTGGGCCTGGTACTAGTCTAGCCTTCAGGAGATGTGTTCTGTTCCTGGCCCAGGCTGGGTCTTGGCAAGCCAGGCAACACTTTCGGTTCTCTTGGAACCTGTTGGGCCTACCTGGCCCTTTGGCACAGCTGTGAAGCCTTTCCCTACTTCTGGCTCTGGGCTCCTTGCTATGTTTGCTCTGTGGCCTGGGCCTGGAGGGGCCACTGCCCATTGGCAGCTCTGGCTCCTGCCTGCTGTGGGCTCTCAGGAGAGGCCACACTGTGCAGTGGATGATGTGGGTCCACATGTGTCTGGGCAGGAGGCCCACTGGTTAGCCTTGCAGCTGGGAGAGGTGGGGCAGTGACCCCTGTGTCTCTGAAGTAATCTCCATGAAGCCTTCCCTGACCACTCAGGCAAGGACCAGTGTTCCCTTGGTGGTATTGCTTTTCCATGGCACTTGTCACTACCATGCTCATGGAAGTGTTGGTGGTGCTTGTGAAATAGGTGAGAAACTCCTTGTCCTTGCAGAGGGAGGCTGAGTGTCCAGCCCCAGGCTGGAGCCAGGACCCTGTCTTGATGGGGGTCAGTCCATGGAGAGCTGCCATGGAGCAAGCCTGGAGCTTGGGGGCTGTGGGAGGCAGCCAAGGCTACGCAGGGCATGTGCACAGGGCATGTGCACAGGGCATGTGCCCAGAGAGCGTTCCAGGCCCAACCACCCCCCACCCCTCACCCCTCACCCTTGCCTGCACTTCCGTGCTATAACATCTTGCCACACAGCTAGCTGAGCACTGCAAAGACTGGCCTGGGTGGCAGGGTGGTGCGCTGGGCAAGGGTGGGCAACTCCCCTTCAGCCTAGGCCACCTAGAGGGCCTGGTTCCCTGGGGCTCGGCTGTGGACAGTCCTCCCTGGGCTGGCTTGGACTTTGGGGCTGTCACCATGGTGGTGGCTGGCTGTAGGGTGAGCCTCAGGTTTCTCACTGGCTTGCTTAGTGAGAAGGACAAGCACTGCTGCACAGCAGGTCTTTTTGCTGTTGGAGGTGCCTGGTAGTGAGGTTGGTTCCCTCCATGCAGGCCCTTCTAGGGGTGTGATGGGGCTAACGAGGGCCTTCCCCTTGCCCCTGCACTGGTGTGGGGTGAGGTGTGTGGTGAGTCTGGGAGCTTGGCATGAAGGCCAGACAGGGCTGGGTGTGGGTTGGGGGCTCCTGTCCCCAAAGGTGCTGGGGTGGGTTGCCTTGTGGTCAGGACTAACGGGGCCGTGCCCTCTTGTCTTGTGCAGATCTTGAGCAATGCGCGGTTGTTTTTGGAGAACCTCATCAAGTGAGTACCTTCTCTATGTCCTGGCCCCACCCCAATCACCTCCTGTCTAGGTCCTGTCCCCAGGTGCCCCCCAACTTGGGCCTTCATGCCCCCACCCCTAGGTATGGCATCCTGGTGGACCCCATCCAGGTGGTGTCTTTGTTCCTAAAGGACCCCTACAGCTGGCCTGCACTGTGCCTAGTTATTGGTGAGCTGGGCTCTGAGGAGGGCCTTGGGTGGGGACCAGGCTGGCTTGGCCTTGAACCTGCCCTCTGGTGCTTCTGTCCTCAGTGGCCAACATCTTTGCTGTGGCTGCGTTCCAGGTTGAGAAGCGCCTGGCGGTGGTAAGCATCATCCTGCCATAGGCCCTGGGGACCCACCAGTCAGCTCTCCTCACTGCTGCTGCCTTCTTGGGAAGAACTGCTTCCCAGGTGGCCCTCACCCAGGGAGTGGGGGCCCTGGTTGAGTGCTCTGCCCACCCCTGTCCCCACCCCCACAGGGTGCCCTGACAGAGAAGGCGGGGCTGCTGCTGCACATAGCCAACCTGGCCACTGTTCTCAGCTTCCCGGCGGCCGTGGCCTTGCTGGTTGAATCCATCACTCCAGGTGTGCCCCTATCCCACCCCATCCCATCTGCCCTGGGCCAGCCACAGGTGCGGTGTCTGGCCGTGGACCCTGTGGAGGCCTGAGCCCTCCTCTCCTGCAGTGGGCTCCGTGCTGGCGCTGTTGGTGCACACCATCCTCTTCCTCAAGCTCTTCTCCTACCGTGATGTCAACCTGTGGTGCCGCAGGGCCAAGGCCAAGGCTGGTGAGGGGCTGCCAAGGGGCTAGGGCTGCTTGTGGGCCAGGCTGGGGAGCAGCACCACTCCATCCCTTTTCTCCCTTCTGCTCTCCTCCTAGCCCCTGCAGGAAAGAAGGCTGGCGGGGCTGCTGCCCAGCGCACTGTGAACTACCCCGACAACCTGACCTATGGTGGTGAGGACCCTGTGGTGGGTGGGGCTGGGGGCAGGGCCAGGCCTGTGTTGGTGCCAGCCCCTCCTTCCCATTCCAGATCTCTACTACTTCCTCTTCGCCCCTACTTTGTGTTATGAGCTCAACTTTCCCCGCTCCCCCCGAATTCGGAAGCGTTTTCTGTTGCGACGACTCCTTGAGATGGTGAGGTTGGGGGCTCGGGGACTGAGGGGCCTTTGGGGCCATCTGGGGACTCAGCCGTCTGCTCTGGTTCCTCCCCTAGCTGTTCTTAACCCAGCTCCAAGTGGGGCTCATCCAGCAGGTAAGGGGGATGGGGCGGGTGGTACGGCGCGGGGTGGGGTGGCTTAGTGAAGGTGGGAGCTGACGCTGCGCCTTCCTTTGCAGTGGATGGTCCCTACCATCCAGAACTCCATGAAACCCTTCAAGGTGAGTGGCCCAGGCCCTCCTGTGGCTGGGGTGGGTGGGCGGAGGCTGTGGCCGGGCCGGCTGAGGAAGCCTGTCTCCATAGGACATGGACTACTCACGCATCATTGAGCGCCTCCTGAAGCTGGCGGTAAGTGTGCTGGGCAGGGGGAGGGGGATGGGGGAGCAGTGGCAGGGGTGTTCCGGAACCTGGAGCCCCTCCCCCACAGGTCCCCAATCACCTCATCTGGCTCATCTTCTTCTACTGGCTCTTCCACTCCTGCCTGAACGCCGTGGCTGAGCTCATGCAGTTTGGAGACCGGGAGTTCTACCGAGACTGGTGGTGGGTGGCCTTGAGGGTGCCCCGGGGGCTGGGGTGGGCCATGGTGTGCTCTGATCACCCTGTTGTCTCTCTACTCCAGGAACTCCGAGTCTGTCACCTACTTCTGGAAGAACTGGAACATCCCCGTGCACAAGTGGTGCCTCAGGTGGGTGGTGTATGTGTGTGTGTGTGGGAGGTGGGGTGCAGCTGTGGGCCTGGGCCCCTTCCCACGCCCCCCTTCCTCCGCAGACACTTCTATAAGCCCATGGTCCGACGGGGCAGCAGCAGGTGGATAGCCAGGATAGGGGTGTTCCTGGCCTCGGCCTTCTTCCATGAGGTCAGTGTTCTGTGGGGCATCCTGCCTCATCTCTGGGCAGGGGTGTGGCCCACGTGGGACACAGCTGACGCCCCCTCTCCCTCCTGCTCCAGTACCTGGTGAGCATCCCCCTGCGAATGTTCCGCCTCTGGGCCTTCACGGGCATGATGGCTCAGGTGAGCACCCTGCACATGGCTGCCAACCTGCCTGCTTCTCCCTGCCTGAGCCCTGGGGCACAAGAGTAGCCCTTCCTGTGGTCACCATGGCTGACTGACTTTGGCCCCACATGTCCCCAGATCCCGCTGGCCTGGATTGTAGGCCCCCGCTTCTTCCAGGGCAACTATGGCAATGCCGCCGTGTGGCTGACGCTCATCATCGGGCAGCCAGTGGCTGTGCTCATGTATGTCCACGACTACTACGTGCTCAACTATGAGGCCCCAGCAGCAGTGGCCTGACTCACTCCTCGCTGCCCATGGCCAGAGCCAGCCCACCTTCCCGTGGGCCTTGTCAAGTGCTGCAGCTGGAGGCCTGGCTGTGTGGCATCATCCTCCTGCCCTGGGAGGCCTCTCTGCCCCTGTGGGGCTCCCTCCTGTACCCCTTAGGAATGGTGGCAGCAGACCAGGCAGATGCCAGCTGGGAGTGTGCTGACCCTGTCCCAGGGGCTGAGGGTGTCAATAAAGTGCTGTCCAGTGACCTCCCTTAGTCTGCCAGGGGTTTGGAGGGCTCATGGGAAGAATGGTCACACCCATGGGGGCGGTCAGTGTCAGGGCTGTGGAGACAGCTGCTCCAGGAGGTGCCAGAGGCCCTTTTGTTCCCCAGGCTGCCTGGCCCCAGTGCTTTTGGAGGGTTTGGGTCCACTCGCCTCTCCATACCACCCTGGCCCAGCTGGGTGCTACCCTGTGTGCCCACATGGGCTGAGCTACCTAGTACCTGCTGGGATGGGTGGGAGAGGCTATTCTGCTGTGGCAGGGCAGGGCACAGCCAACAGAGAATTGCATGGCTGGGGACGTGGCCAGTTAGGTCCCCAGTGCCCCACAGAAGTCCACTGCTCCTCAGAAAAGCTCAGCTCAGGTCAGACTTTGGTGCTAGTGCTATGCCTGCTAATCCTGCATGGGGCTGGGGGTCAGTGTCCTGTGGCTACCAGTGGGGCATGAGCCTGCTTGGCCAAATTGGGCCCATCCTCAGCTTGGGCAGGGAATGCTCAGGGTTTGCTGGAAGTGGGCCTTGCCTGGGGCAGTCTCCAGGGCCCTTCTGACTTGGGTCTGGGGGGCCAGGAGGCTGCAGAGGTCATGATGGTTGTGCCCATGGGCATCTCATCTGGGGATGGGCCTGGGGCAGCATCCTGGGATCACATCTCCAGGGTTAGGGGACTCTAAGCCCCTTGGCTGAGATAAGGGTTCCCTTCCTCAGGACCCCACCCTGTGCACCGACTGTTACTTCTGAGGCCAGGCTGCCCTTCACCTGGCACAGAGGGCCTGGAGAGTAGGGGGCCCTGGGCCCAGTGGCTCTAGGCTGTCCTCACCCAGGACTGGGCCTGCCTTTGGCCCCAGGGCCCTTCAACTCCCACCTCTTCTGGCACTGAGCTGGGCAGTCCAGACACAGCCCTGACTGGCCATCAAAAGGACACTTCATTCCCAGGCAGAGGAGATCATCTTGGTAGCAGAGGTGGGGGCAGTCCCAGGTCCCCGTTCCCAGCTTATCTTGGTGGGCTGGCTGGCTGATTGGGATCCACTGGGCTGTACCAGGCAAAGTGCACCCCACAGACCTGCAACTGTGGCCCAACATGGCAGGTGTCTGAGGAGCCCCCAGTGTAGGTCTAGGCTGCACTGTCCTGTCCACCACCAATCTGCTGGACCACAGACTTGCCACTGTGCTGCCATGGGAGGGCAGGCTACCGGTACTCTGAGGGAGGAGGGGGCCTGCCCTCCCGCTACTCCAGTGAAGGCAGCACCTCCCTGGCCCCTCCCACCCTCTGCCAGTGGCACTCCAGAACAAGCTGTCGCTGCTTAAGAAGCTGCTAGAATAAGAATGGTGGCCAAGGCTGACCCAGAGGCAGGGTCTGCTCCACCAGCCATGTCAGACCACCTGGGCCACCTTCCCCTTCTTCTGCCAGGCCCTGTGGAACCCCTGAGGCAACACGAGGTGGCTCCTGCACTGATGCACTCAGGGTGTTGGCTCTGTGGGAAGATGCAGCCTCCCCCCCCACCCGGCCAAAGTCCCCTGTCCCTGAGTGAAAATACCTTCGGAAGGGGGTCCTGGTGGGTCAACTGACAATCAGGGACTCCCAGGCCCAGATGCCCCCTCCTGGCCCCTCAAAAAAGAGCTGTGGGGCACACTCTGGCCCTGGGGAGTCGGGTGGGCACAGGGTGCTGTGGGCATCTGCCCCCCTCTAAGGAGGCCACCTCAGCCCAGACCTGTGACTTCTGTGTCCTGCCCTGCTCACTGCACCCCCCCCCCCCCCCGCTCGGACAGGAGAAACACACAGGAGGCCACAGTGTAGAGCCTGTCTGTTTATAGATCTCTGCCTGTCTCGTTCGTCCGTCTGTCCACCTGTGTGTCTATATCTGTATATCTCTACGGAAGGGGAAAGGGGGCTCTTGTGTAAAAATCCAAAATACAATTCTGACTATGAACAACCTGCAGGGTCAGTCCACGTGTGGCTGCAAAGAAGGCAGATGGGCAGGCCTGCGGGACCCTCACTCCTGACCACAGGCACTGCTCAGCCCCAAGCCCCTTTTTCTGCCCACACTGGGGCTATGGTGCTGAACTGTGGTGCCCTAGAGCTGCAAGCCTGCCCTGCCTCCCCAGGACCAGCCCTGCACTGGGAGGTGGGGGTTGGGCAAGCCACAGCCGGCTGGCCTCCTCCTAGGGCCTCTAGGACACAGTGGGGTCCTTGGCTTTGGGAGGCTCAGACCCCATCAGCAGGGAGATGGTGGGGTCATCTGCATAGTCGTCCCCCTCAGAGAAGTAGGAGCCTTCTCCGAGCTCAAAGAGCACCGGCAGGTCTCCACTCCCAGTGTCCACAGAGCCAGGGTCCAACAGGAACAAGGGCTGCGCCGTGTAGTGCACCAGCTGCTTCCCTGCAGGGTGTGGTGGGGTCAGGGCGGTGGGCTGGGCAGGAGGTGCGGGTATGGGTGGGGAGCGGGGTGGGGTGTGTGGCTTACCTGAGTCAGAGCTGCTATTCTCGGCTTCGACAGGCCTGGGGGGTTCCTGGGGAGACAGGAGCTCCTGGATCTGTAAGGTGCAAGGGGTATATACTGTGGAGTGAGGGCTCCCACAGGTCGTCCCCTCCCCGTCCTGCCCTGCCCCCACCTGCCTACGCACACTGGCCAGGCTGCTGTCAAGGTCAGGCAAGCTCATGTCGGGCACAGTCACTGAGGGGCTGAACAGCTGTGGAAAGAGGGAGGGCAGTCAGTGCCATGCCTGTGAACAGGGTTATGTTCACAGGGGTGGGGGCAGGGGCGGACTCACGTCCAGTAGGGCGCTGGTGTCCACGCTGAAGCCGTGGCTGGTCAGCATGGTCTGTAGGTTGTCCAGGTTGGAGTCCATGGCATCCAAGTGCTCGCTGAGCTCGTTCCTAGCCCGGGATGAGTGGGCAGGTGAACCAGTGCCCAAGGCCCCCCACCCAGATGCCCTCCTGCTGGAAAAGGGCTCCCCATGGCTGCAATCTCTCCCCAGGCGGGTCCCTCTGGATGCCTAGCATGGGCTAGAGGGAGACAGTGTATGTGTGGATGGCCCAGAAGGTGGTGGTGAGTTCTGTGCCCTCCAACCATGGCAGGCAGGTATGGGCCTGTGAGGCCTTGGTGTGGACTCAGGATGGGCCAAGGTGGCAGCAGGGGGCGTGGGGCAATTCAGCTCTAGACATAGGATGTCGGGTACAGTTCTTCAGGCCTGATGAAGTTTGCTGTTGCACTGGAAGACCAAGTCAGGAGGCGGGCAGGGAGCTGTGCTGTGTGTGGGTCAGTCAGCCCCTCCCCTGGCACTGCTGTAGGGGCGAGACCCAGGGTCTGGTGGCCATGACCGGGAAGGTCCTGGGCCACCAGGTGCACCTGGGCCGTGGGACAGGAAGCCAGGAGGCTCCTGGAGATGCAGCAGGCCCACCCCTCACTGAGAGGAAGGTCAGTCAGCATAGCAGCCCAGATCCTGCCTGCTACAGTGGCCAAGACTGGGGCCTGTCTTTGTCTCAGTGATCTGGGCCACTAGCCCGTGCCCAGGTTGTCAGTGAGGGCACGGCACCTGGTGGCCCTCCCCAGACGCAGAGGGGCCTAGGATGCTGTTCACCAGGCAGGGCACAGGGCTCAAGTCCAGGCTGGGGTCTGGTCCGTGGCTGTGGGAGGGGCCCGAGCTCTGGCAGAGCCCTCCTCCCTCCCCAGTGGGGTCAGCGCTAACCCTGGCTGGACTCGGCCATGCAGAGAGGAAGAGGAGGGGCAGGGGAAGAGGCGGGCGACCCCAGACATCTGTGGAGTGCGAGCCAAACTGCAAGATACAAAGACAAAAGCACCCCCCATTGCAGGCGGGGGCTGGGCAGGCTCTGTGCCCATCCTCGCTTGCTCAGCCTCTAGGCAAGGCCTGAAGGGTGGTCGAGGCTGGGCCTGCTCACCATCTCCTGCACCCAATTGGGCAGCATGACAGTTGAAAGGACCCTGTTGCAAGAAAGGGTGACAGCAGCAGCAAGGGCAGCTGAGACAGCAGGTGTTCCCAGGACACCTGGGCAGGTACCACCAGCCTGCCCTGCCATGCACCTTGGTCCCTGTGGCATTCCGGGATGTGGGGCTACCTGGTTGGTAGCCATCTCCCTCCTGAGCCCCAAGCTCTGAGGTCAAGGTTGGGGGCCAGGTCTGTACCTCCTCACCCCAGCAATCCCTGAGCCCGAAGGCCTGGGGGTCAGGGTGGACGTCCTGCCTTGCTGGCCACCTTGTATGCAGCCCTCCAGGACGGTCTGAGCCAGAGCCCAGGGTTGTGCTCCAGGGCTGGGGTGGGCAGCACTCACTTGTCCAGGCAGGCTACGCTGAGGCACTTCTCCGGGGTGGAGGTGGGCGGGAGTGAGGGGGAATGGCCCCTGGCGTCTGTGTGGCCCCGAGTGTCGGCATCTGTGAGGGCTGTGGCCGAGGCGGGGGTGGGCTCGCTCTCCCGCAAGATGGAGTCAATGAGGGCAGTCGGGGACAAGGGGGTGTCCACAGAGGACGGGTGTCCGGGACTCGCCTCCTCCACCTGGGGGCTCCGAGGCGGGCTGGGGGGCTCCTCCTTGACACGCACCAGGGGGCTGCTGGACAGGGGCCTGGACAGGGGCGGGGTGGGGGCACATCAGCAGGAGCCCCGGCTGGCCCCACCCCACTCCCAACTCTGCTCTGGGCCCACAGGGTCTCGCCTAGTGGGGGGACGAGAGGGCTGGGGGTGACGTGGCCCCCACCTCTTGTCTACACTCCCGCCTGGGGAGGCCACGGGGCTGGCAGGGGCCAGCTCAGTGATGTCGGAGATTATGGGTCCGGAGCTGGCAACAGCTTCTGGAGGGTAGAGGCTGGAGCTGCTGTAGGTCGGGGATGGAGTCTGCAATCAAAGGCAGGAGGCTGCATGTGGCTTGTGCTATGGCCACACCACCCCACTGGCCACCGTCCCACAGCGCCTGGTGCTTACTGTGTATGGGCCTGAGCCGTGGACGTGCTCCAGGGAGTACTGGCGGCCATACTTGGGCAC